AGGTGGGGAGCCGTGTTGGCTCGAAGCAGCCGAACAGAGTTTGAGTCCAGTGGCATCTTTAAGCCCAGCACACGACAGCTTATACCCAGAATTAAACTTGGTTGGCCTTAAAGGGGCTACTAGACTCAAACTTTGAGAAGGTTCCCTTGCTCGAAAGCCAGTTGAGTCCGACTCTAGGGTTGCGGTGCTCATCTCCGTTTCAAAGCCGAAGAGCCAGCTCTGTCCGAAGACGTTTCCGTGGTCATGTGGCCGGCATGACTAAACACCAAGGCGCACGGAACGCTGTTACCTTCCCACCGAAGTGGTACTAAGCCAGTCGAATCCGACTCTAGGGTTGCGGTGCTCATCTCCGTTTCAAAGCCGAAGAGCCAGCGCTGTCCGAAGACGTTTCCGTGGTCATGTGGCCGGCATGACTAAACACCAAGGCGCAGGGAACGCTGTTACCTTCCCACCGAAGTGGTACCTATTTATCTACTTGCAATTTCTTGCTTTCGAACTGCTAGGTTGGCAGGAGCTGGAACTAGAGATGGGAGCTCACTCCGTCATGCGGCAACTCGGGTCTTGAACTGCTGAACTACTGATCTTCCACAGCCTGCAGTTCAGCGTCTTAACCACTTGAGCCACCGCAGCTCCTATTATTATGTGGTCAATACTAAAACACAGGAATGGGATTGGAATTGGAGCTGGTTGCAGAGCTGGAGAAAGAGGTTTCAGTCCCCTACAATGCCACGTTTCTGACAGACCTCTACCACCCCAGTCAGGACTATACCATGGGAAGGAGCTTTGCTAACCTCCAACAGCCCCTGGAACTGATATTTACCCCACTAGAGGAGGTATCCAGGAACCCTAACCCTCCCAGCAAACAGCAGCTCTAGAGGAGGCATTTAGGGTGGGCTCTTTTTGTAGCAGGTTCTCATTTGCATATTAAGCGACACACCCCTAATGTAGCCAATCCTCCAAGAGCTTACAGTAGCCCCTGTAAGAAGAGCTCTGTAAGCTCTTGGAGGATTGGCTACATTAGGGGTGTGTGGCCTAATATGCAAAGGAGTTCCTGCTACAAAAAGAGCCCTGAAAAACTAGCACATCAAGGAGAAGGTGAACTTAAAACTCTTCTCCCTGACACCTCATGTCTTATACAGAAACTTATTTTTGTGCATGGCGGAACATTCAGCCATGTCAATCTCTGCCTGCAGTCTGAAGTGATACAGGCCAGATACCTCTAGGAGTAGTAGGCCCCAAAGTCCTTGTACTCCATTACACCTGCAGTATTAACATGGACCTTGAAAAGTAGAAAGTCTGTGCTAGAAGTTTCTTGTTTGTACAACAACTAACCCCTGCCAAGTATGCATTTCCTCTCAAAGGAGACTCACTATGGTCTCCCCCACCCCCTTTTCTTTAAGGTCTTCTGCATACCCCAAGGCTGAATGTTGGTGTTGATGATTCTAAAGAGAGGCTGCAGCTAGGAAATTACTTTTGTGGGCAGGTTACTTTCAGTCTCTGCCTGAGGTTCCCAGATGTGTCTGTGCTAACTGCAACTAGTCAATAGGAAGGTAGGCATTTTGCATATGCTCAGAGGTTCTGTTATTTCATTTGCCTTTGGGCTCAGCCTTGGCACTGGAAACAGGTTCTATAGTGAGTCCTAGCAAGCCTAGCTGAAGGTAATACTCTTGTCTCCAAAACAGAGATAAAATGTTTCTGTTCCTTTCACTGCCCTGGCAAGTCATTTAGAAGGCAGAAGTGTGGGAAAGTCTGTCTTGTTTCACATTTCAACCAGGAGTGCTTTTGGCATCTACAGTCCAAGAAACAAACCCTCCCATTTTTTTTTTTAAAAAGCATTTTCTTATCTTCTTCCATTGCAAAGCCACCACTAGGCATGCTTATTTTCCAAATAGCTAAAGCGTCCTAAGGAATTTAACACACACAGCATTGCTCAGGACACTCTGACTCTACCAAAAGCATACTCAGTTAATAAAGCACCAGTTCACGTCTCCAAATCTTGGGATTAAAAGATTACCCTCCCCACAAAAAAACAAAAACAAAAACACCTGTCAACACCTGAGGGGAACACACAAAACACACAATCAACTTGACATTTGTAGCTAGTCATACCTTGATTCCTACAATAGGACTCAAATCCATCCTCCTCTGTTTCAGAAACCACAGTGGAATCTTCAGACGAAGGTGCATGGAACTCATCCATTATGAAACCTAGTTAGACCAAATGAGAAACGAGTATTCCGTGGTCATGCATAAAAGCCAGCCCCACAATCATTTCAAGAAGGGGATAGTTTTTCATGAGGCACAACAGAATTGTTGATCATATTCTTCACTAAGAGAGGGGAACGTGGCTCTGCCAAGGTCCCAGTTCAAACCCTCCCTCCTTCAGTTCAAAGGGGTCTCTCTGGTTAAGAATCCCCACCGAGACCCTAGAAAGCTGCTGCCAATCGAGGCAGACAACACTGGCCTAGATCAACTCAATATGAAGCATCTTCATGTGTGTTTCACTCAAACAGAAACCACGCAAACATTTTTTCTCCCATTAACACTCAACTACGTAGAAGGCTGTTTAGGTTGCAAATTAGCCCACCGTTTCATGTTCTATGAAGCAGGGATTCTGAATTTTGAAAAGAAACCACATACTTACCCAAGGCTTCTTTTGTGTGGACAGTAGGAGACGGCTGTACTAAAGATGGAGCCGTTTGCATCGTAGTTGATGTATTTGGGGTGGTTTCTTGATTACCAAGTAAAATAGAAGAGTTCCGGCCACCTGATACTGAATCAATAAGAAAAGCAGTAAGAATCTGGCTGCAAGGTATGTGATTTGTTTTTGGAATCTATTCTTTGCGCACATTCCATTACTATGCACAACTACCATAGAAGATGCACAAAAAAGTGCTAATAATATTTTATTTAGAGATTTATGTCCCAGTTTTTGATAAGAGGCCTCAAAGGAGCTAAAAATGAATATATAAACCGCAATTTTCAGTACCTGCGTCCTAACTCAGAATTAGTATACATCCCACTAAAGAATAGATGTATTTAATCTCAAGGAAACATCAAAATTATTGCCTTAACTGAGATTTCAGGTAGATAACATGTAGCCAACTGATGGCATGCAAACCAGATGCAAACCCCAGAGGTGTTTTTCATGTTTTATCTTTGCAAGTTTTTAAGTCCTGAGGTTTTGACCTATAAATCCTAAATGGCCTGGCGTCAGAAATCCATAAACAATGAGTGCTCCTGTATGAACTTCGCCACATGCTCAGGCAGAGGTCTGAAGGCAAGGCTTCATGTTCCAACTCCAATAGAGGTAAAATAAGCCATTACTAAAAGCAGTCCCCAACAAGGGGCCATGGCTCAGTGACAGAACAGATGCTTTGCACACAAGAGGTTCCAGGTTCACTATCTGGCATCTCCAGCTACAGGATCTCAGACGGTAGATGCTGAGAAAGAGCTCTTTCTCTCTCGGGCTTGGGATCCTGGAGAGCCACTACCTGTGCCAGTAGACAATATTAAGCTAGACAGACTAATAGTCTGACTCTATCAATATAAGGCAGCTTCCACTGCAGGTCTGCTTGTCCCAATTATGGAGTGTGATCTTAAAGAAGGCGCTGCTGGCCTCTTTCATCATCTTGGAGATAGGCAAAAGCTGCTTTTCTCCCAAAAGTTCTGGTTTTATTGGAGGAGGATGAAAAGGAGGGCTACAAATAGCTTCCTTCTACTCTTTGCTGTATTTATTTTATTAATTCGTTACAATTGTCCATGTATTTTTAAAAAATATTTTGTTGTGCAAACCCCTTGGTACCTTTTAGGGCAAAATTGACAGGATACAAGAAACAAAGATTCCACTTACTAACATTACATTTCATTTTTGAGTTTGCATGTTCATACAGTGTGTTATATGCAGGCCCAATTCCTCCATACGTGAGAGGTTCTTCAGTGTGATGGAGCCCACATTATTACTGAGCCTGGCAACTGGTAATCTCTAGACTGTGGCCCCTGAGATTACAGGAACTTGGCCGTTGTACATACGAGGGGGCTCAGAAACTCTTACAAAGCTAGCAAGACAGCTGATTAATTACCACTTCTCATTTCCACAGAACATGGCGGCTTCTGTTCAGAAGTATTCAGTTGCCTGCAAGGAAAAAACAGCATTGAAGTTCTCCGGCATCAGTTCCATTTAAAATAAAACTAATTCATACAAGACTAAAAAGGGATGCCGAAATCTGATCAACAAATATTCTAGTGCAGCAGCAGACAACCTTTCTTTTACCCCAGTGCTGAACAACATGCAAATGTCTACCTCGAAGACTATGCTGCACAAGCCAACAGAAGAGGCAGGGAAGAAGAGTGTTGTGCTTGCCCAGATGCACTGCAAATGCTGTGTACAGATCTTTTAATTTTTGCACATGGGAATAAGGGACTAAATTAAGATGGCTTTTAGTTTTGTGCTCACTGCACACACTTTGGACTACAATTGCAATGCAGAAAATACCACCAGCATGAGGAGGAAGAGGAGGAGGAAGAGGAGATTGGATTTATACCCTGCCTTCACTCGGTGTCTCAGGGTGTCTTACAATCCCCTTTCTACTCCCCTCCTCTCAACAGACACCCTGTGAAGTGGGACTGAGAGAGCGCTTTCGAGGACTGTTCTTGAGAGAACAGCTCTGAAATAACTTGTGACTGACCCAAGGTCACACCAGCAGCTGCATGTGGAGGAGTGTGAAATCAAACATAGTTCTCCCAGATTAGAGTCCGCCACTCTTAATCACTACACCAAACTGGAGTGAAGCTTGTGGAGTGGGAGTTTCCCATGTCAGCCACAGTCCACTAAACCCGCTGGAATTTTGTTCCTGGGATCAGTGGACTCTCATTAACAGCATGGAGGGAAGGAGCCGCAGAGGGATGGGGGAACTGGCAGAAATCACCCCGCCTCAAAGACGGAAGTGCCCTTTTGGTTTCAGAACCAAACAGTAGGGTACAAGTTGAGGAAAGTGCTATCTCTACAATTTAGCATTTAGATGCTACTGACAAAACCCAGCACATAAACAGTGTGCTAAGAACACAGCCCTGTTCACCCATGCTTTTAGCACATATAGTCCATGTGTAGTATCACTGCATCTCCTATCACACCTCTTCGGTAGGACATGGGCTCTAAAGTATCCAATGCTAAGGGATAACAATCAAAGGGCTGAGACTATGTGCTTGGACACAGACTTCTTATGGGTATCATACCATACATGAGGAGTGTGCCCAGTGTGTGGTGAATGCGTCTTGTAGGTGGCATGCCAGCTTACGTGAATGGCCAAAAAGCATCAGTACAGTTCAAGAAAAAAGTCAACTGGAGTAGGAGATGAGACTTCTTTTACTTACTGCTGCTCTACATGGTGGTAGTCATGGGAAATGGCAGAACGTTTCTGAGGAGGTTGCACAACATCTTCTGTACCGATCTGAAGTCTATGAAGACTTTCCTCACATTCCTTAAGATGAAGCTTGGATTTGGAAGTATCCCTTTCAGTCATGGTGACTGACATAGACACCTGCCGTTTCTGGAAATTTTCAGTAGGCTGTGGAGCTGAAGCCACAGCGGCTGAAATCTCTGCGGCTGTAGTGAAGGGCACTGATGAACTCCGATGTTCTGTCCCCAGGGTCAAAGAATGCTGTAGATATCCAGCTGGGGAAGGGGCTGCCCACGCTGGCAGACTGGGAGCTACATATGGGTGACCCTTTCCAAATGCAAAGGAAAACATTTTTGGGCAAAACCAACTTTGCAGTTGCATTATAGCTATTTAAAACTTCAAAAGTGGGTAGGTTTTGATATTTCACCACAAGGTTTAACAATTATAATTAATAATAGCTTATGGGCGTTTCAAAAACTCAGCATATTGGGTTCAAAATGTTAATGAATATCTTCATCTTGCATCCCATCCTATCCTGATATTCATCATGTACACCTCGGGTATATAAGTGTACTTCAGGACTTGATACGTAAATTCAGATAGTACCCTGCCTTACTGACAAATTTGTTTGCGAGTTATCGGATTCAACAGAACCACCAGTTAAAGGAATGAGGAGAGCCCTTAGGAAGTGGCTGAAAGTCACGAGTACACAATCATTGAATGAACAGATCCAGTGACTTGACTCAGTAAAAGACAGCTTCATACATTTTAAATAATACCCCCTCCCAAGAGAAAACAATAACTTGTACAGACCTTGAAAATCCCATTTAACTGGGATTCTGAAATAGCCACTTAACTGCCGTTAAGCGTATGCCCTTATAATATGCATGGACGACATTCTGAGGAGGACACTTGTACTTAACATGAAAAGGAGGAAAGGTGGCTTCTAAAGGAACTAACGTTGACCTTACAAATTGTAAGCAAGACTTCTAAGCTAATTTAATCACTACAATGCCAACATTTGAGAGTGCTCGCATTGACACAAAGGAATTCCATATCACATTTCAATATATAGTACCATAAACATACCACTGTGGCGCTTAGGAGGGACTGGTGAGTGGATGGCCCTTGCATAGTTTTCTGGGATGAGGATGATGTCTGAGAGAGAAGAAACAGTTTCTGTTCCAACATCTGCAGCTCAAGATGATTATTCTCCTCCTTTTTCATTAATTCTCTGTCTTCATCCTCTGTATGTATCAAAAAAACATTACTGCACAGAATGTATGAATATTTCTTGTGGTCCCCATCCCACTCCGCTGTTTCCTTTGCTATTATTAAAAGGTGGTAATGCATGATGACCTCGGTCACCTTGGTTTGTTGCAATGTCTGCAACAGGACACAGGGATGGAAACTAGTCAGAGGGTCAAAAATACGGATTTTACTGACCAAAATTCCAAAAAACCTGATCAAATACCGACAAAAAACTGACAAATTACTGAACAATTTAATGTCAGTCTACTGATAAGCTAGCGTTTTAAATGTAAAACTAGGACTTCATTAAAAATTATTATCTGGCCTCCACCATCCCCTTAGCCAGCATCTGTTAGTGCCAGCACCGGAGGTTAGGAGTCTGGGAGTGCTCCTAGATGCCTCCTTAACAATGGAGGCCCAGGTAGCAGCCACTGCCAAATCAGCCTTTTACCACCTCTGGCTGATTAGGCAGTTGGTTCACTTCCTTGAATGCAACGACTTGGCAACAGTGATCCATGCGATGGTCATCTCGAGATTGGACGACTGTAATGCTCTCTACATGGAGCTGCCCTTGACCCAAATCCAGAAGTTACAGCTAGTGCAAAATGCTGCAGCCAGGCTTCTGATGGGCCTCCCTATGCGGGAGCACATCCAGCCTGTGTTGAAAGCACTGCACTGGCTGCCGATAGCATACCGAATTCACTTCAAGGTGCTGGTACTTACCTTTAAAGCCCTTTATGGTTGGGGGTCCACATACTTGAGGGAACGCCTTTCCCCACACGTTTCCCAGAGAGCACTGCACTCAGGGTCACAAAAAGCGATTGGTCTCCCAGCTCCTAAAGATGCCAGGCTGGCCACAACCAGGGCCAGGGCCTTCTCAGTGGTGGCTCTGTACTGGTGGAATGAGCTCCTAGAAGAGATCAGGCCCCTCAGGACATTTTACAGTTTCACAGGGCCTGCAAGATGGAGCTCTTCCACCAGGCCTTCAACTAAGGAGCCGTCCTGGCCCCACTGGTGGACCTCCTGATGGCACCTGGTATTTTTGGCCACTGTGTGACAGAGTGTTGGACTGGATGGGCCTTTGGCCTGATCCAACATTGGTGTCTCTTATGTTCTTATGGAGGACAGGGTATAAACTAAATAAATGAATGAATAAATAAATGAATAAATAAAGTTATTCACAAGCTCTTTCATTTCTCAACAGTTTTCTGCACTGCATCCACAAGCATTTTTTTCAATTGTTCTCTTCTTCCATTGCTTTCTCAACTCCTTCTAGCATGAGCTGTGCCATGTTGAATCCCACAACATCCATCACCTCTACTTTCATTGTCTCATGTTTTAAGAGGTTAATTATGTTTCTATCCTTTGTGGAAGATTTCACCAAATCACTTTTAGGAACGAAGTCCTTAAAGTACTTCATAGCTAAACTGGAAACAATCTGTCTTCTCATTGGGAAGTCATCATGTTTCCCCAAAAATGCAGTAATGAAAATGGAAAAACACAAACTGCATTCACAAAAATCAAAGAAATACTGACTTTACTGATAATTTTTTTAAAAAAACTGACAAATTACTGACCAAGATAAAAAACCTGACTTTTACTGATTTTACTGACAATTTTCCACCCCTGACAGCCTGAATCCATCAGAGCATTTCCAAAGATGAATGGATTTTCATCTACGGAGCATCAATGGACTGCAGCAGGGGTAGCAGTAGAGGCAAGAGAGTTATACTCCACTGGTGCAAATCTTTCCATCCACAAAAACACTTCAGTGGATCCAAACCATCACTTCTCCAGGTTTTGGCTTTCAAAAACAACCTCATGTTTTCTACAAAAATTTGATTTCCCTGCAAACCTAGGGGTTTTGCAGGGTTTGTGGAACAATCACAGCAATCCATACCTGGACCCATCATGCATATTTTTAAATCTGCACACTGAGGGCCAGGTTCAGAATGGATAAAGCACTGCTTACAATTTACTTTCTTCCTGATTTTTGTAAAAAAACCAAACCCAACAAACATGGTTTATTACAAGAGTCCACAGTCTTTCTGCAAGAATGAGAGAACTGCAAGCTTTATATTGGGTAAGACAACACAGAGATTGTACTTTCCCCCCACTCTTCCTGCTTATGCAGTGCTTGACCATAATTACCTGCTGGGTATTCAACCCACAATAAAGAAGAAAAAGAAGAAGAGATTGGATTTATATCCCGCCCAAAGGAGTCTCAGAGTGGCTTACAAACTCCTTTCCCTTCCCCTCCCCACAACAGACACACTGTGAGGTAGGTGGGGCTGAGAGAGCTCTGACAGAAACTGCTCTTTTTCAAGGACAGCTGTGCCAGAACTATGGCCAGAACTAAAGCTGAATGCATACAAAATTCAAACACAAATTGCCAAATAATGAAGCAACAAGAAACAGTTTAGTTCAGTCCCTGCATCAGGAATTCCTAGTTAAAGCAGGTGCCAGGAAAGCTTTTCATTAATTCCATCAGATAAGATTGTTGCTTTTGAACAAATACAAATGATGCACATCTGAGACTGAGACTGTCCACATGGGGCTGTCCTTGAACATTTGGAAGCTTCCTCCAGCACACAGTGTCACTTCTTGTTATCCTGATAGGAGCGGGTTGGAAGGTGTGCATTAGCAGTACATTGTACTGTGTTCACACTGGTTCCTTGTTACCGTGTATGCACAGTTCAAGGTGCTGAATTTGGCTTATAAACACAAGCTTTGACTTGTTTAGGTTATGAGCTTATGAATGGAACCGTGTTTATTTTGTCAAGTGCCTAGATGTTTTAGGTATTTGTTCATTCTTATTATAAATCCCTTAATAACTTTAGAGCTCACACCTAAGCTACAGCCTTCTCCTTTTGTCTCGACAGCAATCATTCCAGTGAGCCATTTTAACAGTACAATTTACATGAAGGGGATCTCTTCTCAACTCATCATTTAAAAAAAAATATGGCTGGTTATATGGAACTGTGACACTGCAAGGTCTTCACTAGCAATTTCTGGGAGGGGGGGTGCAACAGGTGATGTGTACGCAAGCCCACACATTGCTTTGCTGGTGTGGGGGATGTGGGGCTAACCCCATTTTTTAAGTGTGGGCTTTCTTATTGAAAACCAGCTTTGTTAAAATATCTCCTTTATGTACCTGGCCCTGTTGGCTTGGATCCAGACCAATGTTTCTACAGGCACAAGGATTTCTTCCCATGGAGTGTAACATTCTCTTCCCCCACCATGCCTCCAAAAAAGCTACTGAAATCCTATTCCTGGGAAAAATCAATTGTCTCAACCCACCCTGTAAAAAAACCCGAGACCGTGGAGACCCACTGCCACTCTGAGAAGACCCCGGGGGGGGGGGGGCCGACGGGGGGCG